TGGGTGGCTCAGGGGGTTAATTTAAGCCTCTGCCTTTGGCTCAGGTCATGATCTCAGGGTCCTGGGATCAAGCCCCATGTCGGGCTCTCTGCTCAGCAGGAGCCTGCTTCCTTCTCTCTCTCTGCCTCTCTGCCTACTTGTGATCTCTGTCTGTCAAATAAATAAATAAACTCTTAAAAAAAAAAACAAAAAACTCAGATCTCCTTCCAAGTCCTGCATTCTTCCTAGAGGTCACACCAAAATTCCAACCATGTTAATAACAATAGTAGCAATAAAAGCTTCCGTTTTTGAGCACTTATGATGACTCTGCTTAGCATGTTACATTTATTATTTCATTTAATCTTCTAAGAGCCCAAGGGATATGTACAATTACAATCATTTGAATTTTACAGATGAGAATGGGGCTCTGTAAATTAGGGAAACACTTCATGGTCCCACAATTAATGAGTGACAGAATGGGGGCTTGAAGCCAGACCTGTCTGTCCCCAAATTCCATGCTCCCATCCCTTCTGTGGGGCTGATTAGGGGGTCACCTTTGCTAGCCTCTGACAGTACAGCAGCACGTGGCCATGTGCCTGTTACATTGGTGCATTCCAAATTCTGTTCAGAATATGCTCTACCCTCCTTAACAGTTCTTATCTACAATTACTGTGTATACAACTTGTTTAAATGAAGATGAAAGGTTCTTTGCTGTGAAGTTATGTGCAAACGATCTGACCTTCAAGGGAGACCAGGTCCGTAGAAGTTGTGAGAAATGAGCAAAGTGAGAGAAAGACAGCATGAAGGGAGGACATGCATTTCCAAATGGCCCAGTTTGGAGCTGCAGTCTTTCAGCAGCACACCAGCTGTCAATAATTCATTTATAAAATAATGGGGCTAGTTCTTAGGATTTCATGAGGATGAAATGAGCCAATCCATATATAGTACTTAGCACAGAGGCTGGCCCCCAAAAGACATTTAATAAATGTCAGTTAAAACATATGTTTTGGGGCACCTGGGTAGTTCAGTGGGTTAAAGCCTCTGCCTTCAGCTCAGGTCATGATCCCAGGGTCCTGGGATCGAGCCCCACATGAGGCTCTCTGCTCAGCAGGGAGTCTGCTTCCCCTCCTCTCTCTCTGCCTGCCTCTCTGCTTGCTCGTGATCTCTGTCAAATAAATAAATAAAATCTTTAAAAAACATATGCTTTAACAAATTATTCAGATTCAAAGAAGGAAATAGGCAACCCAGTTTCCTATGGAAAGACCTGGGTCTGGGTCCAGCCGCTGTTGGGCAACCCTTCCTCTTTCTGGGCCCCAGTTCTTTCATCTGTAAAATGAAGCAATTTTGAGCAAGTGCTCAGGCTTTATCTAATGGACAAGGTAAATTGCATAACTGACCATCAAGTTTCTCTTTTCCTGCTAACAACATGCACCAAGTGTGTGAGTCTACTGTATGGAGCAAACCCATTGCACTTAGAAACTTCTTTTGTATTATTCACGGTTTCTCGCCATCTCACACCCTTTTCCTTCTTTCTTTTTAAAAATTTATCATTGAGTGGCACTTGGGTGGCTCAGTTGGTTGAGCTTCCTCCGACTCTTGATTTCGATTCAGGTTGATTTCAGGGTTGTGAGATCAAGCCTTGAGTTTAGCTTCGAGCTCAGCCTGCTTGGGATTCTCTTTCTCCTTCTTCCCCTCCCCGCACTTGCACTCATGTGCTCATTCTCACTCTCTGCCTCAAATAAATAAATAAATAAATAAATAAAATCTTTTAAAAAATTTATTTGTGATTCTAGGGGCACCTGGGAGGCTCAGTCAGTTAAGTGCCCAACTCTTGATTCAGCTCAGGTCTTGATCTCAGGGCTGTGAGTTCAAGCCCCACATGGGGCCCCACACTGGGCATGGAGCCTACTTAAATATGTATATATATATGGATTCTAAAACATTTTAGCCATTATTGTTAATATTAGTATTTATGTTTTCTCTCTCCAGAACCAATTCTTATACCTGTTTCAGATACTCCGCTATTGGTCTCTATGAAGCAGGATCTGTGAATTTTAAACAGAGACCTAGGTGTCCTAAGTGACCTGAGACTCTTCTAAAAACAAGGCAATGTTGCCACACATGGAACCACAGTGTGTGGGCCACAGCTTAGCAAGTGGCAAAGCAATTTTTGCCTGAGAGCTTCGATTCTCTCATTGCTGATGGTACAGCCGGGGGTTGGACATGAAACATATCTGGAGGCAGTAGACAGATGGCTACACATTTCACTGGCAATATGTAAGCTAAGATTTTACTTTTGATTATTCATTCAACTCATATTTACTGAACTCCTATTAAGTACTAGTCTCCGAGGAAATGTTGAGAAGCAAGAAAGACACATCCCTTCTCTCTTTGATTTTATGCTCTAATGATGGTATGTAGGAAATTAGGTCAGCAATCACCACACAGCACACCAAGGGGGGAATGACAGAGGAAGTTGAGGGGGCTCTGAGTGCATGAATGACTAACCCTAGCCTAACACAGACAAGAAGGGAGCTTGAAGGAACAGACAGGTAAATGGATCCCAGAAGAATGAATAGACGTTAGGCAGCAAACTGGGGGCAAGTGCACAAGTGGGAGGGAAAGGAGGATAGACCATTCTAAGCAAAAGCCCATCTTACACAGAGGCCTAACACAGCAGATTTGGGAGCCTAAAAGATTGCTTTTAGCTAAAGGCAAAGAGCTTGCTCACAACAGGAGAGACTGGAGAGGTAGATGCTAGATCATGAAGAAAGACTCCTGTGGGCCATTAGTTAAGGAGTTTGGGCTCCACACTAAGAACAATGGGGAGCTAGTGAAGTCCTTTAAGCAGGGCAGGAGCACGTCTTTCTTATGTGATTTTAACTTATGTGATTTTCTACATGCAGAAGGATTTTGGAATATATCCATCTTACTTCACTATATAGAGGAGGAAACAGGTGAAGTGACTTGCCTAGGGTCACTTAGTTGCAAAACTGGGACCAAAAGGCAAGCCTCTGGATTTCCAACATAGTGGTTTGAACAAACCACCTTGCTTCCCCTTGTAAGCAAATGGAAATCAGGGGTCAGGGAATTATTTTTGCCTAAGATCTCAACAAATATATATGTAATGGTCTCTTTGTTTCTTTTAAGCAACTTGTTCTTGGAAGGTGAAAAGACAGGAAAGGAACAACAGGGAGAAATATGTCTTCCAGAAATCTACAATATCCAAAATAGTTGTCCCTTTAGAATGAAAATCCAATCTCTCTTGTTATACATTTGTAATCACTGACACTCAAAATCCTAAGAATCACAGTGGAAAATGAAAAATTAAAAAAGAAAGGGAGAAATGAAAAGGAAGGGAGGAAGGAGGGAAGGAGAAAGAAAGAAAGAAAGAGAGAGAGAAAGAAAGAAAGAAAAAGAAAGAAACCAGTTTTTAAAGCCATCCTCCACAAACACCTCCACAGCTTTCTCACAGGGACAGAAATGTGTATGTGTACATATATAGATAAGTCATCCTTTCTGAAATAGCAATTTAAATTAGAATGAGTGATGTAACATCAAACCATAAAGGATCATGAATTCTGAGTGTCTGGGAAATGGTATGAGATCAGTGAGGGCAAAGACTTCACAAGTCCTTTGCTAGAGACTCGGGTAATACGACTCCTCTATAAATAGCCCCTAACAGGAACAGCTAAGTGATTAAATATAAATTTGTGGGCCCTGCACAAACATTTCAGAAAGCTTCCCTTGCAACAGGACTTTATCTTTTATATCTACACACACATTAAAATGTCTCAAATGCTTTCCAGTGTCTACCTGTGAGGTAGGAAGGGCAATTATTATTCCTCACTTTCTAGTTACGGAGGCTTCTCAGGAACAAGACTGTTGAAGTGACTTGAGCAGGGGGTCTGGAGGATGGATCCCAAGGTCCACCAGGCTGCAGCTCAGGGAGAACCGTTTCTTTGGCCAGCCCTGAAGGGCAGATAAGCCTTGAAGAGAAAGGTGCCTGCCTGTCCTTTCAGGTTCCTCCTGTCACCGTGTGTGTTCCTTTTTGTCCGTTAGGCAATTCCTGAGTGAAGTTGAGGCAGGTCCCTGCTTAAGAGATGGCAGCTTCAGGGATTTGACTCCAAGGAACTGAGAAGGTATTCCTCAGCAGAGGCGCAGCACTGGGGACCAGACTCAGTTGCTGGGAGTCCCCTCTCCCCAAACCTCAGCTTTATTTTCCATCATTTCACCCTGTTCCTTTCCTTCGCAGAACTTCTTCCAGCTGTAACTGCACATTACTAGGGTAATTTACGCCCTGCCTCTCCTGGTAGATGACAAGCTCCAAAAGGGCAGTACACCAGTGCATACTCAGCTTCTTCACGGGGCTCGGAACAAAATAGCTGCTCAATAAATATTAGGTAGATAAATGAGCACTTGGAAATAACGTGAGATCGATGAGACCCGAACCGAGCCCAGAGCTTCCGCCCTCCCACTGCCGCAGGTGTGGCTCCCAGGCATGCGAGACCTGGCGGCAGGTTCTCTCTCCCTTCCCCATCCGGAGGGCCGCGCGGCTGGCTGTCCTGGGGCAGCAGCCGGGGTGCAGGTCGGGGATGAGCCGGCCGTGCGCCCCTCGCCGCAGCCATTTCCTGCTCTTTGTGTGACAGCCGCCGCGGCGGAGGGGCTGACACCGCGCGCGGGGAGGAGCCGCGGCGGGCAGGGGGGCGGGGCCGAGGGCGGGGCCGAGCGCCGCGGCCGGCAGAGCCGAGCCCAGCGCGGCAGAGCATCCTGCGCCCTGGCGCGGGGCCCCGCCGTAGCCTTAGGCTGCTCCGCTGGACCTGCGGCAGACCCAGGTAAGCGGCGCTCGCAGGCCTCGGGGCCGGCATGGGGACCGGGATGCTGCGGGGGACGTCGATGCGGCCGTGAGGATGCGCAAGGGGCCGGCGCCCCTTCTCCCAGCCCGAGGGGGGCGCTCGGCGCGGCGCTCAGGCTAGCGCGGCCTCCCTCCGCCCCCCCGCCCGCCCCAAGCCCCTGGAGGCTGGACTCCAGGCCCTGCGCGGCCCCCTTCGCCCTCCGGCCCACCCTGGGCCCCGCGGTGCGGACCCTCTGCGAGGAGGCGCGGACACTCAGCGCCGCTCGGGCGGAGCTCGGGCGCGGCGTCGGCAGTGGCAGCGGCAGCGGCAGCAGCAGCAGCAGCAGCAGCAGGTGCGCGGCCTGGGCCGGAGCCGCGGGCCGGAGAGGAAGCGGCGCTAATCCCGAGCACGGGAGACACCTGCCTCGGCCGCGAGCCCGGCGGCTTGACATCCCCGAGCCCAGGTATTGCAGAGCGCCGGCCGCCTCCTCTGCCGCCGAGGCCACCATCACCTTCTCCAGGGCCAACGAGAGCCGCGTGGGCCTGCCTGGTAGACGCCTGGGGCACACAGAGCCCTGCAGTGAACGAGAGATGGGTGGGGCGAAGGTCTGAGCGCCAGTGTTCGGGGGTGGGGGATTTAATGAGGGAGGAGGCAAGTCTGACCCGCTTTGAAGCCTCCTGGCCTACACTAGCATCACTCCCCCAGCCGGTTGGCTGTGGGCGGGGGAGGACAGGGGGAAGGGGATGAGTGGGCTGACTCCTGGGGAAAAGGTTGGATTTTCTTGAGCTCTGGAGAACCGGAAAGATTGCCTACCTGTCTGTTGTAGCTTCTGCTTTTCAGGACAGCCCTCCCCCTCGATGGGTGGGTGAAAAGGAAGAGAAGGGGGTGCTCTCTGTTTAGGGGTGGGGGTGGGGGCAGGAAGCATGGTCCAACAGGAGTATGGTTCTCTGTGCTGAGGAGAACATGGCAGGAAAGAACACTGGCACTGCCCTGGCCCTTCCCAGCCCAGGGAATCTGACTTTGACCTCTGCTTCCCTAGTGTCTCCAGCTCAGCAGAAACACTCACCTAGGGCTGATGGGCCATCTGCTCCCCTTCCAGCCAGGACAAGAAGGTGGCAAGGATCTTTTCCTGCTAGCTGCCAAGTGCTTGTGCCTTCCTGGCGTGTATGAGGAGACTAGGGCTGTCCTGCAGGCATGAGGAACGAATTAGGGGAGTGCTCGTTCTCATACTCCACTTTTCTACCTTTTACCTATGTCTCCCTTAGGGCATTGTGTCTTACCTTACTTACTTTTGGGCACAGGCCCTGTTGGGAGCCATGCTCCTAACCCTGGAGATTACAGATGTTAGAGTGCAAATTTCTAGGTTCATATCCCTGAGCAAGATTGCAAAAGCCATGAAGTCTGTTTCAGCACCATAAGACCTTCTCTGTGATGCTCCCTGAGGCCTCCCACCTCCACCTCCATGTTCTGTGCTTCCCCCATTCTCCTGTGTCAAAAATTATTTTCAAGAAAGGAGCCAGTGAACATGTTTATCTTTTAAGAGCTAAATACAAAAGAATTTGCCATTCAATGCAGAGCAGGTCCTTTAGAAGTCATTTAACTGGAAAGGAAACAGAGGCCAGGAGGCATTTGAATGGAAAACAAAGCTTTAAGTCAACATATTTGATATCTCTAGCGGTGGAATTTCAGGCAGTGGGCTGCGAGTGGGAACGGGGAACTGGATAGCAATTTGGGGAACAGCTCACTGAAATGACAGTATCTAGCCGTGGTCAGCTCTGTTTGCTGCTGGGGCAGAAGTACTGTAGGAGCGTGTGTATGTGTCACTGGCCAGGGGTTACTGTCACTGGAAGGTATGTGTGGAGCACCCAGTATCCACTTGGGGGGGAGGGTAAAACTTTCCTATAGAGAGTTACTCACTGGCACTGGCTGCCATCTGCCTGGGCAGTTACGAGGCCACAAGAAGAGTGTGTTGTTTCTTACAATGCTAGTGCTTCTGCCTAGTTCTGAACACTGAGCCTCTGGCTGGGGGCATTAGCTCTCTGCTCACTAAGGTTCTTTATTATATTTCCTGGCCAGTTCTCACCAGTTCTGGAGGCACCCAAGCCTGCCTTGTTCCGTCCCTGCTGAAAGTGGAAAAGGAAATACTTGCTTTAGGCATTGGGCCAAGAATGGGGTATATGATCCAGTGGGGTTGGAGAGTTTTTCTCAAATCAAATCGGAGGCTGGCCCAGAAAAGGTAGACATGAATTTAAAATCTGGAAAAGCGCCCCAGGAGAAAACTCCACGTCCCCTCTGATAAATTGTGCCCTCTTGGGAGTTCCATGGGCCCCCCCCACTGCTGTCATTGACCAGCAAGCTGAATGAGGTGATGAATAAGCGACAAGCTAATTAGCATTGGAAACAGCACTCCTGGAAAACAGCACAGGCTCTGGTCCCTACATTTGAGGATTGGCCTACACTCTCACTCAGAGAGGTTTCTTTTGGCTGCTGTCGGCCCCAGGGATCCACCAAGAACTTCACAAAGTGGTCTTTTGTAGCCTCCGTGTGGCCACCATAACAATGAGTCTATTTCTTTACTAGCAAGTATTAATTATTCACTTGTCCTTGACGAAACCAGATATCGGTCACTTCATTGGAGCCTTTGTAACAGGCCTTCGGTCTTGTTCTGAGGAGCACACCCATGCCTAGGGTCTAGAGGATAGACCTGTTTTGGTAGTGGAGCGTGCTGGGTAGTGACTGGGAGGCCAGCAGGGGTGGGGAAGGAGTAGGTCCTTCACTGGGTGCTCTTTTTAAGTGAGGGACACATGAACGTGTTGAGTAGAGTGTCTAGCACATAGTGAAGTGCTATTCCATTTATGCATTTATTGGTTATTTTGAAGATTTTATTTTATTTGAGATATGGAGAGTGAGAGAAAGAAAGACAGAGCACGAGCAGGGGGTAGAGGCAGAGGGAGAGGGACAAGCAGACTCCCCACTGAGCAGGGAGCCCGATGTGGGACTTGATCCCAGGACCCTGGGATCATGACCTGAGCTGAAGGCAGACGCTTAACCAACTGAGCCACCCAGGTGCCCGTGTATTTATTATTTTGATGTATTAATTACATAATCCTTAAGAATATGGTTCATGTGTGTAGTCAACCCATAGCTCTTCCCAGCTCCTCTACCTCCAGGGCCTTCCTGGATTTTGCTTTTCCCACGGGGAGTTGGCTCTGTGGCCAAGAAACCTAGCCCCGGCAGGGTTACCTGCAAAAGGTAGCCACGAGAGTGATAGGATGCGCTATCAGTAAGGCCTTCAGGTAGGAAGTGCTCTTGAGCAGCTCACTGACGGTGAATATAACTTGAGTAGGCAGAAAGAAGGGGAGGGAGTACACTGAGCCCAAGCCCAGAGGTAGTTCTCACATTTCAACACACAAAGAGAGGTCAGGAAGGAACTTTCCTTCTGTATGCATTTAGCATTTTGCAATCAGCCAAAAATGTTAAGGGCACGCTTCACTTCCCAGGCAGACGGAGCAGCGCCGTGGCCTTCGGACACAGGAGTTATCCTCGACTTGCTGTGTGCCTTTAAATCCTGCGCTGCCTCTCTCTCAATTTCTGAATTGGCCACGGGAAAGCAGCTTGCCCAGCCTGTTACCTACCTGTTGCCACAGGAGCCTGCAGATGAGATAATGTCTATAAATCCCAGTCTTAGAAGAAAAGGCCATGGAAACAGAAGAGGAAGAGGTTTCTGAATGTGTGGCTCTTTGGGAGGACTGCCCTTTATTCCTAGAGGAACAAGTTATTAATTATATATTGTGTGTCAACTTAAGAAGACAAATCTGTGGCCTCTCTGTAACAGCGAGCCAAGGGGACACTGAAAGGCACTGTGTGATTCACAGATTCTGTCACGGCCCCTGGACGGCCTTGTCTGTACAAAGACATTTCAGATTTCAGTCAGTGGGTGTGGGGCGCCTCCCAGGATGCAGAGTTTGGATACTGGCTTCCTAGCCATGGCCATTATGCCAAGGGCTGTGTGTGGTATGCCTCAAAGGAAGACCATTCAAGCCATACTTCTTGGGCCCTGGCAGTAGAGGAGGAAACCAGTTCAGTGCAAGATCCTTGAAAGAGATTGCTCTGAGAAGGCAGAGCTGGGGTTCAGGCAGAATTTCTTGCAGGGACCCTTCTGGGTGAGTGGCATATGGCTAGACTTACAGCAACTCAGAAATAGTGCAAGGAGAGAGGGAAGTAAATGTGACCTTCTGGAGAGATACCAGAGAAGGACCCAGTGATGACTTCATCAATAGGCCTTTTGATTGTGTGTTTGCATCATCATTAGGTCATCTTAGAGCTGTGGTTCTCAGACTTTATTCTCTTCGTGAGATAGAAGGATGTTTAGTATGTCCATGTTGTATGGTTTCTGTCTTCTAAATAAGGGAGGAGATGATGTCCTCTGCAGAAAGTAAAGGTGGCAGACTGGTTAGGAAAGTTCAGGAGACTTCCGGAGGTTTGGAACAGCTGCCTCTGTGGGTGGAATTAGAAATTAGCTGGGGATGAATGAGAGGATTGTCTCACTTTCTGAGACCAGAGAATCTGCAGGGCTGACCCTCACAGAAGATACTCAGTAACCCAGTATTAAGTGAAGGGATACCTGAGAAAGATAGCCAATTTGTGTTTTTAAATCGTGACGTCTTAAGACTGATTTTGGCAAGGTATGAAGGGTGAGAAAAGAATTCAGGACTAGGGGTTGGCCATCAACCTTCAAGTATGTTATACTGTCACATGGGAGAGAGAAATAAGGACCTGTGTCTTACGTGTTAAGGTGAGATCGGTATGTTCTAAAGAAGTCTCCTCAGAGTCTTCCAGCAATAAGGCTGACTTAGATGTGATATCATAGAGAACTATAATGTTTTAAGTTTAAAAAAAATTTTTTTTTTTTTACCAAAAGACATGAATTTGGGCCACTTGCCAATGTAGTCAACAAGTTGTTCCTGTAGTGCTTATTAAGTAAATAATGTGTAGAATGTGCCCTGATCTGTACTAGGGGTATGGGTGAAACTAAAAAAAAAAAAAAAAAAAAAAGATGACTATTCCTGTTTTTGGTGATCCAAACAATTAGTGAACACATAAAGCAATTTATAATGCAGTAGGAAATTGTGAACGCTGAGACTGAGCACTTTAAGAATCCAGAGAAATGGAGGTTTGATGGACTTTGGCTGTTCAGAACTTCATGGTGGCCTGTCTTGAACTGGGCCTTGACAGTGGTCAAGGGTAGGATTCCAAAAGGGGAGAGGACAGTCTACTGGAGAGTGGAGAGAGTTGGAGCAAAGGCAAGAATACTCATGGGCAGGTCCATGGCCTCTCATACATCTTGGCCAGAGTGGGTGTCCACGTTAGAGAACCGTGGTCTTGAAGGAAACCCTTTGCATGGAGGGTCCATCTGCTGTCAATGTCATTTTTTTTTTTTTTGAGTTGGAGGTGGACAATATT